CGCGTGAGCATGCCACATACAGTTGCCCTTATGTAAAACGTGTTCTTTCTAAATAGTTAGTGTTAGAGGGAACTATATAAATTGAAGTGGATAATCGGAATACGGTTAATCAAGACATTTGGGCGTTTTGCCATTCCAGTCATGATTGAGACCTTAATTTTGTGACACAAATGTGTTATTTGTAGCCGAGTACCATAACACCGCATTGGTGCATCAAGTTTTTTTTTTACTTGCAATAAATTAGTGCTTGACTGCGATCCCACCTTGTGGTAAGCAGTGATGCAATCGTTGATGGTAAGGCGCACTAGTTTATTAAAAGCCTTGAAGACACCTAAATTATATTTGGACGGAAAGACTGCAGCCGGCAAACTGTTCCAATCCCTCGATTTACGCGGTATAAATGACGAGGCAAAACGCTTAGTCCGGGCCGCAGGTGTCTCAACAACGTAAGGGTGGATATTTGCCGTACGCCTGGATGTCCGAATGTGAAATTGGGATGGCGGAATCAAATCGTGCAATTCCTGCGCACACTCTCCAAAATGCATCCTGTAGAAAACCCCAAGGCTGGCTACTCTGCGCTTGTGCTCGAGACTTTGAAGATTTGACCCAACCAAATCTGGATCACCTATCAGCCTCTTTGCACGTCCACCGAATCCAAAGGCGCTAGGTGGCATTTTGCAGCACCAGCCTATATGTGGCTGCAGTACTCCACTCACGATCGGACCTGAGCTTTATACAACATTAGAAGTTGACTCGGTGTGAAGTACCGTCGGACTTTTGCAAGAACGCCGAGTTTTCTAGCAGCTACCTCGGCCTTGGACTCAATGAACCGCCCAAAGTTGAGGATTCTTCAATAATAGAACTGGAACACCAACTTGTAGTATAAGACCCGTGGCTTCTGGCGACCTCTTGCGTCCGTACTTAGTTGGTCCGCGAGCTTGAGGAACTGGCCGCCTCGGCGGCGAAACCGTCGCTTTTTTTTGTGACGCAGTAGGTAATGCTCGCAAAGGAGGAGGCGGAGCGCGTGAAGGAGTTATCCTCCTCATGCTTCAGCCGCCGCCGCCAGGGGCGACAAGCTGTCGTCGGAGATCGAGCTCGGTACGATCGGCACGATCTCCGGCCATCGTAAGCCCAAGTCTGCGTTCGGCAAGCAAGGGTAACTCGCGGCCCGACCAGAATCGAACCTGAGTGTACGGCGTGTAGCGTTCCACGCGCTCCTCAAAGAGCCAATAGACCACCTCGGATGGGGCACAACATGGCCAATGCTGAACAGGGGTCGCTGATCAAGCGCAATAATGTACCGCAGCCTCGCTTTGAAACAGGAGAAAGAACGGGTGCCATACCCTGGGTCTTTGATGATTTTCACCTCTACAATAAAACTACTCTTGGCTTCTAGCGATTTTTACGATTGAGCTCTGCAGCTTATGGTGTCCTTATTGAGATCCGTCAGCTAACCGACGTAAGCAAGGCACGGCAAGACTAACTTTAGCTACTTTCACAACAAAATGTCGTATGGAATTATGTTGTGGGGACAGGCATCCCACGTTGAGTCCATCTTTATCTTGCAAAAGCGTGCCGTCAGAGCTATCTATAACAATAGGTCGTCGCGAATCTCTTAGAGAAAAGTTTAGGGTGATCAACATTATGACCGTACCAAGTCAATTTATTTATGAAAATTTATGTTAAAATTATGTACGTTACGAAAAACTAACATACTTACTTACATAATGTTTATCACACTATTCACACTAGACATAGGAAATCAAGCAAAAAGTGCATTATGTAGTCATTCTTGGTATTCTGTGTTAAATGTTATAACAAAATCCCAGTTGAAATACAAAATCTAAATGAAAGCAAATTTAAATCTACATAGTCTGGCCATAAATACTGTTACAATGAAAATAAACAAAATATTACATTTGAATTTGGAATCTGTCATTTTTATAAAATTTTTCATTGTGTTTTCTTATTTTGGCGCCAATAAATTGTTCAATATTTTGCGATATTAAAATGGACTGAGGTGATAAAGAGAACCGAATCGCTGTGATTGCATTACACAAAGGGGTATGGAGCCAAATGCAATTTTTAAAACTCTCCACACGCTTGGCATTAGTCAAATGTTTGTGTACCGGGCTATTAATAGGTACAATGAGACCTCCTCTGTTTGTGAAAGAAAAAGATCTGGCCGTCCACGTAGTGTTCGTACGAAAAAGGTGGTCAAAGCAGTAAGGGAAAGAATTCGAAGAAATCCTGTCCGAAAGCAAAAGATTTTATCTCGGGAGATGAAGATAGCACCTAGAACCATGTCGCGTATTTTAAAAGACGACTTAGGACTTGCAGCCTATAAGAGACGCACTGGACATTTTTTAAATGATAATTTAAAAAAGAATAGGCTGATAAAATCTAAACAGCTACTGAAGAGGTAGGTACGCAAAGGGAGGTCACAGAAAATTATTGTTTACGGATGAGAATTTTTTTACAATTGAGCAACATTTTAACAAACAAAATGACCGTATTTATGCTCAAAGCTCTAAAGAAGCTTCTCAATTAGTCGACAGAGTGCAACGTGGGCATTATCCGACTTCAGTGATGGTTTGGTGGGGTGTTAGCTATGAAGGAGTGACTGAGCCATGCTTTTGCGAAAAAGGTATCAAAACATCGGCACAAGATTATCAAGATACCATTCTTGAGAAGGTAGTTAAGCCCCTTAACAACAACATGTTCAATAACCAACAATGGTCCTTCCAACAAGACTCGGCGCCGGGTCATAAAGCTCGGTCCACCCAGTCTTGGTTGGAAACGAACGTTTCCGACTTCATCAGAGCTGAAGACTGGCCGTCGTCTAGTCCCGATCTTAATCCGCTGGATTATGATTTATGGTCAGTTTTAGAGAGTAGGGCTTGCTCTAAACGTATTGATAATTTGGATTCCCTAAAACAATCCATACGATGGGCAGTGAAGAATTTTCCCTTGGAAAGAGTGCGTGCTTCTATTGATAACTGGCCTCAACGTTTAAAGGACTGTATTGCAGCCAATGAAGACCACTTCGAATAAGCTTTTTATGTTTTAAATTGTTTTATATTTGTTTATGAGAGTAAATTTATAAACGAGATGAATCGATTCAGAAATATTCGATTTCCACATCGATAATTAATTTCGCAACGTCACTATTTATTACGTGTCATAACGTTGCAACACTGAAATTGTCAAATCTGGAATGGAATTAAAATTCCGAGTATAGTGAAGTAGTGACCGACTGACTTATTATTTTTTAAAGTATTTTTATTTTATAAAACTTTGCCTTACACTATGGTTTTCTCCTGTGTCATGGGTTTACAAACATACAATTTCACATAACAACAATTTGTGGATAACACAGAGAGTTGTTCTGTGCGGGAATCGAACCCGCGACACATTGCGCGACAACCAGTTGCCCAGCCATCGCGCCAACCGTGCAGTCGAAAGTTGTTCGTAGAACTCACGGCAATTTTCTTTTAGTTTAGTATCTAACTGTCATTTGTATACTGTTGATCATTTATTTGGGAGCTTTTTTACTGTCAATTTAATGGCGGATGGCACACGTCTTATTTGCATATGTGCGTTCATGGGCGGCGTCGATTGCTCGCCATCAGGTAATCTGTCGGCTCCTTTGCCTTTGTTACATTTTTTTACTGGTTTTCGCAGTCCACACTGGTTTTACCTAATTACGTTGATCTATACCTACTGCCTCAGCGATACACAATAACGCCAACGAACAATCCAATCATCAAATGTTTTTTTTGGCTTCTATAAAGAAAGCAGGAAACATCGCCTTGAAACGGACGATTACCACGTTTTTGGTTTTCTGCGTGGAAACCAGGCAGCATCATCGAAAGAAGCGAAGAACAATAAAACGATAGCTTTTCGCGCGTTTGCCAGCGGCTAAGTGCGAGCAGAGTAAGCGGAATAGCTGGAGCTGGCGAATTCAGTAAGCTGCCATCACCCGAGTGCTCTGGGGCAGAGTCACAGTTCCTTATCTACAGTTTGCCTTAAATAAAGCACGCAATTCTCTTTAAATTTCGTTCTAAATTTTTGTTGTTCTTTTTGTGGAAATAAAACTAGCAAATAACATTCAAATTTATTGATAAGTAGGAGACTAACACTGAGCTGTTGGACGGACGGAACAGGGCCGCCCTTACATTACTATGATACTTGAGATGTCTAAGTCTAAAAATAAATATTCGCAAAAATTAACATCACCCCTAGACGTGCTTCATAACCAATATTTACATACATTACTTAGATAAATCTTTATTTATTATCTTACGTTCTTCGACTAGTGCTATAGGTATACGCGACTAAATCTACGCACAAGGTATTTGGAACCATACTAGTATATTATAAAGAAATGCAGATTAATATCCGCTCTCTGGTAGTCGGCGAGCAATGCAGGGCGCCAACTCTACGTACGCGACGCGTATTTGTATCTACGCCCAGATGCGTATGGTGGCGTCCCAGGAGGCGGTGGACAGCGCGGTGCCGTCGGGCGCCAGCTGTACGCGCGTGACGCGGTGCTGGCGCCTACGCCCAGATGCGTATGGTGGCGTCCCAAGAGGCGGTGGACAGCGCGGTGCCGTCGGGCGCCAGCTGTACGCGCGTGACGCGGTGCTGGCGCCTACGCCCAGATGCGTATGGTGGCGTCCCAAGAGGCGGTGGACAGCGCGGTGCCGTCGGGCGCCAGCTGTACGCGCGTGACGCGGTGCTGGCGCCTACGCCCAGATGCGTATGGTGGCGTCCCAAGAGGCGGTGGACAGCGCGGTGCCGTCGGGCGCCAGCTGTACGCGCGTGACGCGGTGCTGGCGCCTACGCCCAGATGCGTATGGTGGCGTCCCAAGAGGCGGTGGACAGCGCGGTGCCGTCGGGCGCCAGCTGTACGCGCGTGACGCGGTGCTGGCGCCTACGCCCAGATGCGTATGGTGGCGTCCCAAGAGGCGGTGGACAGCGCGGTGCCGTCGGGCGCCAGCTGTACGCGCGTGACGCGGTGCTGGCGCCTACGCCCAGATGCGTATGGTGGCGTCCCAAGAGGCGGTGGACAGCGCGGTGCCGTCGGGCGCCAGCTGTACGCGCGTGACGCGGTGTTCGTGCCCGCAGAGCACGCAGACGCGCGCGCCGCGCAGCGCGTCCCAGGCGCAGGCCGTGTAGTCGCTGTAGCCCGCGAACACGAGGCGTCCGCTCACTGACCACTCCACGGAGTTGACGCCGAAGATGATGCTCTCCTTGCTGTACCGCGCCACCTGTGTCACAACAATTTGAGAGTGAGGCCCTGTCAGCACTTGATAAACAGTTTTGTATTATACCCATTTTATTGGGATAAATGATGAGTCATCATTTATCATTGATGACAAGGTATCTCCTATAGCAGAATATTGCACTGCTGTACTATACTATACCGATGCAAGAATAGAGAAGCTAGCCATGCGCATTGCGGACAATCCGCTATACTCTCTAACTAGAGGGCTAGTTATAGACAGGGGCAGATTTCGATTTGTAAGGCCCTTCGCTAATACTGCTTAGAGTTCCCTAAGGTGGGTTCCTCAAATTCTTTTACTTGGCAATCGCACAGCACAGGTCCTGGTTTAAAATTATTGAAAAAAACTAATAAATGATTTAATTCGATATTGTTTTTTTTTTGTGGTCTTTTACCTATTTGATTTCTATATAGGGACAGAGACAGCGTCTTTTTATAATATGTAAAGATGCTGTACTGGATATGTGTTTTTATTGATTTGATGAATTTAGTGTTCGTAGGATCTTTCTCTAGACCTCAACATTATCGTATTTTTTAACTTTGAGAAAAAAATCACATCGTGGACTGTTAGTACAGGTAACAGTGCAAATTTGCTGTTGTAGATAATAATAATAATAAACCCGCAGGGCACCTTGAGGCGAGGAACTAGCGATCCCGCGGGCTACCATCATCCTGATTACTCCGGGGAAGAGTCACCGTTCTTTATCTCCGGCTTGCCTTTATCGGCTGGCCGGAGTGAATGATGACGAGGAACAGGTCTCCCACCTCTGGCTTGCCTTCATTGGCCGTCCAGATTGGAGTCGCGGAGTAGTGATCCTGCTCGGAGGGTTCGTAAGCGCCGAGTGGGCCAGTGATGCAGGATGCCTTGACAGATACAGATGATCTGAGTAAAAAGCTGGCGGCAGTTTCATCACCCTTGAGCCACTCACATTTCCGTTGTCCCTCTGTTGCTATTACTAGCAACCATTCCCGGGGGCCCGGTCGGTGAGTTGGCGAGTCTCCGCCTGCCATTCTTACGTGAAATTACGTGAATTTATTACTTTTTTTCGGCAGGTGCCATAGTCCTTCCATAGTTCCCGTCATACTAGTCCATAGCACCCCACACCCATAGCCCCTTGTTTCCATTAACCACAATAGTCCTACACTAACCGGTACTGTCCTTGGTTCATTCCCATAGTGCATACAGGGATAGTCGCGGTTCTATGTCCCATTTCATTTAGATTATAGTTGTCTAAAGGGCCTCGTACGCCTTCCAAATGACCAAATGATTGGGACCCTTCCCGTGATTGGTAAAGACTTACATAATGATAATCATTTATTTCATAATAAATTCCATGTATTTCATACTTATACAATTACATGAAATACTAGGTCCTCAGTGTTTTGAGTAATTGGCTGAGAATATATTTTTTGATATATGGTTGGCGCGGGTGGTGGGCAACTGGCTACAGCGCAACGACACACATGTGTAAAACTCTGTCCTTAGAGTACAGTAAGATCTGAGTGCCGCGGCTTCGCCCAACTACCACCAGATCCGCGTACGGAGCTTTACATTCCGCGCGCGCCTAAAAGAGCCCATAGTCTAAGATCCCGATATAAAATGACCTTCACCAAGATGTTTATTTGATGAAACATATTTTATATTTAATTTCATTTGCCAATAATTATATTCCATATGGGTTGCCTAATTATATTCCATATGGGTTGTTAATTAATAATTTAAAGTCTTTATTTTCATTTAAATTTGATTAAATTATCTGACCGGTGTAAAATGCTACTGTCGATTTACCTGTTTTTACCTGGCAACCCGAGAGTTATGACTGGAAAAGAATAGGCAACCTAACGTTAGCATATTCTATGGGCTTCATACTTTCGATTGGAATGGAATTTGTCTAATAGTCAACACGGTAAAATATAAAAAAATATCTTTTTAAATTATCAATTAATCATATCCTGGTTTGAAATTTATTAGGCAACCCATATGGAATATAATTATTGGGAAACAAAATTTAATATAAAATATGTTCCATCAAATAAACATCTCAGTGAAGGTCGTTTTATACCGGGATCCTATACTACCATAGAACACCACAGACGGGGCCCTATAGCGCTGATGTTCAGCCGGGGTTATGGGATGAGCGCAGTCAGGCACCGCGGCCTCGGCTCAGAGCAGGAAAAGGAACGGGGGGTTTTTAGTCAGTAAGAGTCTGAAACTCTCTCTAGCCTCACCTGGGTGGGAGAATTGATTTGATAATTTTCCCCTCACAAAAAACACCGGCCCCAAACAAGCGCCAAGGAATTTCGCGTTCCGTTTGATAGACTTCTGACCCATGGGTTTATAAAACGTCCCCCAACGTCACGTGACTGGCTTGATGTGACAAACCTCATGCGCCGGCCGCCCTTAGACGCAACGTCGAACAGAATAAAACACAATGTAAGTTCTTTCCTAAACTTACTAATGATATAACACATTATTGTCTTAAAATATTGGGAAATAACTGGTACATCCTATGAAAATATACGAGAGCATGTTTTCTTTTTCATACACGATATAAATTTAAAACAAACGAACGTTTAGTAAGTGTTGCACGACAGGCTGGTGTGTGATTGAGCGCGATGCGGCTATATAGCCACATTTTGTCATTTTAGGTATATTATGGTAGGTATCTATAGTTTTATACATCACAGGCTGCAGCCCATAAAACTTTTATAGATCCGCCGCTGGTTATTATAGAGTATAGTGCATTAGGTAGTTTCCTAGGTCAAAAATAAATCATTTTGACTTTCAAAATTTTAATAATTCTTTCATTTGACTATATAGGTACTTAATTTTTGATTTTTATAGTTAAAAATAAGTATGCTGTGTCACACAGTATCTAACAATAATATATTAAGTATATGTCAACGATCAGCAAGCAAAATATCCACTTATTATCTACATAGTTTAAGAAAACAACTATTTAAAACAAGTAGAGTAATAAAATTGGTGTTGGTAGTATTATGAACCTAGTGTTTACCTCGCGGTCAGCGCGCAGGTCGAAGAGGCGGCAGCAAGAGTCGTCGGAGCCGGTGACGAGCGAGTCCCCCGAGGGGTGGTACTTGACGCTGTTGACGTCGGAGTCGTGCGTGTCGAAGGCCTGCACGGCCTGTCCTGTGCGCATGTCCCACACCAGCACGGCGCGGTCGCAGCCGCCCGACACGAAGGTGTCGCCCATGTCGGAGGGCGCCAGGTCCAGCGCCATGACGTCGGCCGCGTGCGCCTGGAAGCTCTGCAGCAGCTGGCCCGACTCCACGTCCCACAGCGCGCACGTGCCGTCGCCGCTGCCCGTGAGGATCTGGCGGTCCGTGTTGGGGAACAGGCAGCACGACATGTACGACGTGTGCGTCGCCACCGTGCGCTTGCGCGCCGCCGGCTCGTCCTCGCCCGCGCCGCCGCCCAGCGGGAACACTGTCACCTTGTTGTCCAGCCCCCTGTCGACGACCGACTGCTGTAGGCGCGGACCATATAGCGTATTGCCAGTACTGCAGTACGGCCCACTTACCCTGCTGCGACCAAGTTGCCCGACGGAGCATAGGCACAGGCCATCACCCACGTGCTCGGCATTGCAATCGTCAGCTCTTTAGTGGCCGTGAATGCGTCCCACACCATCACCTTGCCATCCTATACACACAAATGGAATGAGAATACCTAAAATATTCATTTGCTTCTAAAATACACACTTTGTCAGCTACCAGATATTTTACGGTTGTGGTGCCCAATACCGGCTTTCTTTAAGAATAAAAATTTCATAGACATAAAATGAAAACCACATATTGTTTAGCAAGGTGTTTACCTGAGATGAAGACACAATGTGCCTTTTATCTGGGGACCAGTCAGAACAGAGCACCTTGGACTGGTGGCCCTTGAGCATGCGCCGCAGCTTTAAGTTGGGGAAGGCAATGGTTTCGAGGCGTTCTGCTACACAGGACACTGCAACACAAACAATTTTTTTGGAGATATTTTAATTATCAAAAACTGTGACAGCTGATTTAAATTGTCCTTGTTTTTTATTTCATTAATTATTCAAATATACTATTTTAAATACAATATTGCCTGAAACCACCTGATCACTGAATATTTAAGTGTAATTTTTAAAGTTTTTGAAGTTTCATTGCTAAAACTAGTGAAAATTGTGAACTTATATGGTATATGATTACATATTATATGGTTTTTAACTTTTCAAGGTAATTTTTGATATATTTAATATCAGTTCTCTCAAAGTATCATGGTTTCCAATCAAGAAAAGGTAGCATGCTGAAGTTGCTATTCCTACACATTGTTTTAGATTCTCTGGTTAATTTACAGTAGAGATTATTAGCTCAGTGAATTTACCTATATTTTTTAAACTGGCTTTTGCTTATGACTCTATTCATGGAATAGTGACTTCAAGCAGATTATTGGTATAAAAACTATCCTATGTCCTTTCTTGAGTTCCAAACTATGTCTGTACCAAACTTCACAGAAATTGGTTCAGTAGTTTAGGTGTAAAGAAATGATAGACAGACAGACACACAGACAGATAGAGTTACTTTCGTATTTATGATATTACTTTGGATTCTTACATTGTTAATGTAAAAGCTAAGAGACATGCAAAGTTGACAATAAAGACATTTCGGTAAAAAGATGGGTTGCCCAGGGGCTCTGAAGGGTTCTGATTAGTGGCAGAAACAATCTAGTCAGATCTGCTGAATAAATGTGGCGGTCACTGGCTGACAACAGCCAATACGCGACACTCACGAGATACGTCGTTGAGCTTCTGACGCTCTTCCTCCAATTTCTGCTTGAGTGCTTCGGCTTCACGCAGCAGCGACTCGAGTGTCTCCTCGGGGCTGGCCGCCACTGCTGTGTCGGCCGCCATCGCGCCGCTCTGCAGCCTCAAGCCAGCACTGCAATGCTTCTAGTTCCACATTTTATTGCAGGGAAAACTTCGCGCACGCCCCTTTGGCCACCCGTACTTTGGGTCACTCCCCACTCTGCCCCACCACCACTAACTCTAGTAAGGTCTATAATTTTAGATCACTGTCATCACTGATAGTCAAGCAAATGCCAAAATAATTATTTTACACTTTATTATTATGCCCGGAACAAGGTTTTGCTTTCACCCACTGAATCAATACCAACTTCGATTGAAGTCGTCGTATCTATCAAACAGAAATTACAGAAACAGTTGTCAATGTCAAAAATAAATTGCAATGTCAAGCATGCCAACTAAATAATTCACTGTTTTGTCTATGATATACAAAGCTTAGACGATAGTACAAAATATAATCTTATTTTTGTCCAATGAACTACATATGATTATATTGTAGAATGTGGAAAAGCAAAAGTGGGCAGGTTAGGTTAGGTTTACTGATAATTGTACAATGTTCCGGGAAAAAGCATATTGGCTAAGCTAAAATATTATAAGGCAAATGGGTACTTTACTTTAGTATGGAAAAAATAGCGTTTCCTGTTTCGGATCCAGCGGGAGGGTTTCCTCCCGATCCGAAACCCGAGAGTCGTCAATGTGAGGATCACCTAGACGATATGCATACGGTGGCGGTATGCCCTGCCTGGGCTGAGCACCGCCGGGTCCTCAGGGAATTTATCGTTACCTAGCGACGACCTCTCGCGCCCGGTCTTAGTCGAGGCCATGGTGTGGAGCGAGACGAACTGGAACGCCATCTCTTCCTTCTGTGAAGCAGTTATGCCCGCAAATAGGGAGACTGACCGCGTGAGCGAGCAATCCCCCTCCTCACACCCCAGCCCTCTCAGTAGGCGACACTCCGGGCATCGGGGATCAAAAGACAATCTCCGGCCACCGTAGGCACGGGTGTGCGGAAGGCGAATAAGGGTAGCTGACAACCAGACCCGAACGTACGGCGCGTAGCTTTCCGCTCAAAGAGCCAAATAGACCACCACAGACGGGGCCCTATAGAGCTAATGTTCTGCCGGAGTTGCGGGTTAAGCGCAATGACCGCGACCTCGGCCTAGACCAGGAGAAGGAACGGGGGGATTTTTAGTCAGTAAGAGTCTGACACTCTCTCCCGCCGACAATGGGCGTCATTTGATGATTTTATCCTCAAAAAAAAAAAAAAAATACCCACGGTGGCAAGCGTTTCAACTCTTAACATACGTAACTGCAACTTATCAAGTCATCTTTAAACCTTAAATATCCTTTAAATTGCAGAATAGGGGCTGATTAATTTTATTGGGTGAATGTGTGGATAGTAACTCAAACTTCCGTTTAACGTTTGAAAAATGGGGTAGTTTCCTGGGTCAAAAATAAATTAATTCGACGTTTCAATACAGTAAAATATTGAAAAATAACTATACTTTTATTCATCGATCTGTCGATACACTAAATTTTTAATATTTCTTAGCTAGTTTTAGAAATAAGTAAGCTATTTGACACAAAAATACGATGACGTCATAACTCAGTTTTTCATACAAATTTCATAGAAAAGACTACAATAAAATAGTTGGAAACTAGGTACCGTATTGTAGCCTACGAAAAGTCTATGGTTGTCTTAGTCGGTGGCCATCATAGATTAAGTGGCCATGCCATGCCATGATATCATCGAGCATGATTTTGTGTCAATGTCAACTTCAACCAAACCAAACCAAAGAGTATAGGTATAGAAATGTTTAGCTAGAGGTATCTCAAATTGTCAACTATCAAGTCAAACAACTGATATATTTTTAAAATTCAAAGAAACTTTCAGTTAACTTTTTTTACAGTAAGACCATTAGTTGACCGTGGTTACATACTCTTTGAGTTTACCATCAATTCCAGAGCGTTGTGTTCAGTGAAGTGTTTTAATTTCAAATGTGTTTGAGTAAACATGGAATGAGCGCGAAATGTTGTCGAATATGAAGATTTTATAGCTTCAAGGGCATGTATGAAATCTTTGAATCAACGATTTGATGCAATAAATATATTGCTTTTGCTTTCTTAATTTGTACTGACTTATAAGCGATAACTAGTATTCATTACAAACTGTTGCCATGAATCCTGCATTACACGTTGAAGTTGTGCAAAAATCTCAAAGCCGAGCCAGTAAGGACTATGTTATGGAACTCGTACGTAGTTTTTTAATGAATTTTGTATCCTTGACTCCTGGTGTAATTTTAACTGGAATTGATCTGGAAGACAATGTCGAACTGAAGGAACATGTACAAAGTATATCGTTTTGTGATATAGAACACGATAGTGAAGTTTCAGTGACGGAAACTGAACTTAAGTATCATGTCTTTAAACTGGATGCGTTTGGTGCTGAAACTGACACAATGACTGATGCCAGTACAGGGGAAGAATTTGCTGCAGCTGATGTCTGGTCATTGCCCAGTCAAGAGTTCCAAGGACTGTGGGAGAGTCTCATTTATGATACTAAATTAAAAGAAGACACTGTTCGATTTGTGGAAACTGCATTTGAGTTTGCTGATCGGGGTGTAGACCCAAATATAATTGGTTGGAACCGAGTAGTGTTGTTGCATGGTCCACCTGGTACTGGCAAAACCAGCTTGTGCCGTGCACTTGCTCAAAAATTGTCAGTGCGCCTTGCCGATCGATTTCCAAGAGCCCGTCTCGTGGAGATAAACGCACATGGCTTGTTCTCTAAGTGGTTTGCAGAAAGTGGAAAGTTAGTAGCAAGATTGTTTGAGCGGCTCGATGAGATTGTCTCTGACCGGAGGCTCTTAGCCTGTGTACTCGTCGACGAAGTGGAATCGCTAGCGCATGCGCGTCGCGCCGCTCTGTCCGGCCTCGAGCCGTCTGACTCTATTCGCGCCGTGAACGCGCTCCTCACTCAACTGGATCGGCTGCGGCGAAGGCCCAATGCTCTTGTGCTTACCACTTCCAACGTGACTGGTGCTATCGACGTGGCGTTCGTGGATCGCGCCGACATCAAGAGGCGCGTGGGCCCACCGTCGGCACGAGCTGCGTATGAGATTTTGCGCGGCTGCTGCGCGGAGTTGATGGGGCGCGGGTTGGTGGCGCCGAGAGAGCCCGTGTTCGCGCTGCGCGTGCTGGAAGGCGCGCGTTTTGCCGACAGCGAGCCGGCGCGCGCCAGCCTGCAGCTGTGGGCGGTGGCGCGCGCGGCGGCGGACGCGGCCGTGTCGGGCCGCGCGCTGCGCCGCTTGCCCTTCCTGGCTCGCGCGCTGCACGCTCGCCAAGCGGTGCCGGATCTGCTGAGCTTCGTTAGCGCTCTGGCAGCAGCGCTACGAGACCACTTGGCCGATGCGGCTGATCTAGATGACGCAACAACACCTATGCCTAAATAATTCAATGCCTTATTTGAAGAAAAATATTATTGCAATAATTGTATATCTAATATTTGGGATTTTAGAACAGTTCTGTATAGATTCAAGTCTATGTTTCAAATAAATGTAATTTAATATTTAAGTAAGGAACCCTGAATTTTATTCACGTTAAAACCACATAATGCGGAGCAGGCGCTACGATGTACTGCGGCCTTGGTCTAGAGGGGGACTAGAGTCCCCCCTAATGGCAATGTAATACTCGAATCCCTTTTGTGAGAGATTTTGAGGTAGGTATTGATCTAAGAGTTTTGACTCAACAATTTTATTGTAGTATAGCTTAGTACTAGTGTAAATATGTCGAGGTTGCGGAGTAAGCGCATTGACGCACCACGGCACCGGGCCAGAGTAGGCGAAAGAACGGGCTGGTTATTAGTCAGTAGGAGTCTGAAACTCCCTCCAGGCCGACGCCGGGCGGGAGAAGTCATTTGATTCCTTTCCCCTAAAAAAAACCCTTAACCACTATAATTTTGTGTCCGTTACCCAGGCCAGATGTTGTCGACAATGGTCATTTGAATCTTATAGATAATTAGTTGTGAGGCTTCTGTAATTGTTGCGCACATTTTTAAATTCTGACAACATCTGGCCTGGGTAACGGACACGTTTGTAGTGCCATTGTGGCATTACCCGATTCGGTCCTCTAGTTTTCTAAAATTTACTTGTAATGTCATGATAAATTTGATCCTGCTGAATTTTGTTATTTAATGTAAATTCGTTAATTAGGTTCCTATAAATTGCGCTTTACGTGTAGGTACTGTAAAGTGGACGGGCGACGATACGACCCGATGCTTCAATGATGACTGTGTGTGATGCGCAGTTGGCGCGCAGGCTAGGCAACCGGTTGCCGTGTAACGTGTCGCGGGTTCGATTCCCGCACGGTTCATCTATTTGTGTGATCCACAAACTGTTGTTCCGGGTCTGGATGTCATGTGTATGTAAAATTGAATGTTTGGAAAGGAAAATACGACCGAGGTTTTGAAATACAAAAATCATTTATTTCAATTAGACCCATACAAGCACTTTTGGCCGTCCAAACAAGATTTAAAGATATAGGTAAAGGGTCAGTCCTGTTAGTGACAGTATTTGCAAAAATAAAATGTATTTACGACATTAGGCTAGGCTTTGAACTCTAGTAATCGTGGGAGACATTTTGGGTAGGCAAGACAAGGCTCGCCGGCCGACCAGCAAGAGACGCATGCGTACGGCGTTCCGCACGCTCCCCAGAGTCAAAAACATCACAGATGGCCGGACACGGCTGATGTTCATCCGGGCTTGCGGGGTAAGCATAGTATTACCGTGCCTCGGCCTGGACCTGGATATGGAACGGGGTTGTTTTTGTCAGTAACAGTCTGACACTCTCCCTCGTATCGTAAGATTGCTCTCATCCAAGGGTACCTACACTTGATGAAATGTTATTTGTTTTTAAGTTACCTTGCAATATAATGTTTTTCGAAATAATAATAAAGAATAGTTTTAAAACACTTTATTTTCATACTGTGAGATGGCCTGTTCCAGCTTTTTGTTTCATTGACTCTCCTTGCAAATTTATCGTTTTACTTTCATAAGTACTAGTGACATGACGATTACAATAACAAACAACGACAATTGACTAAGTTCTAGTTTAACTCGCGCAGTAAGGATTAACGTTTCCAGTATTTGTAGGTATAGCAGCAACCGGAATAATCAACTGCTCAAATTGATCTTCCTAGCTGTGCACAGTTTATTTGAAACAACCTGCTGACAATTCTTAGTAACACCAAGATGCAGAACGATTTGTTTCTGTTGCGTTCCTAGTTCGTAAAGAACAATTTGTAGGTCTGTTAGTTTCGTCCGGTCGTCGATCGGTTTAAGGAGATGGGGCAGTCACCGGCCGATGATCCACAGCATGTTGAGGCCGGCGCGGCCGAGATGCAGGCGGCGCAGCGCGGGCGGGTCGGCGCGCGCCGCCGCCGCCAGGAACAGCAGCAGCGTGTGCAGCAGGTTGTTGCGGCCGCGCGCCGGCTCCACCGTGTCGCCGCCCAGCACCAGCGCGTACTGCGGCGGCCGCAGCGACACGCGGTGCACGGCCAGCGCGCCCGGCCCGCGCGCCGGCGGCTCCGGCGCCGCCGACAGGTGCGCCGAGCTGAAGGGGCGCGCGCAGCCCGCGGCCGGCAGCGCGGCGTCCAGGTACGTGGCCAGCAGGTGCATCACCAGCTCGGCGTCCGTCGGCTTGCTGTCGTCCCACTCCGACCCGCCGCCGTTCCAGCGGTACGCGCTCAGGCAGCCGCCGCGCGCCAGCTCTAAAGGGACACGTCACTTGCGTCACCTCTTTGGGCAACGAGCTCATTCGTTAAATAACAGCCTCGTTTACCTATTCAACTCATTTTGCGACTCATTTTTATCATTTTGTGTTTCTAAAAAAAACTACGTTTAATAAAACCGACTTTAAATACAAAAAAGTGTTAAATAATTAAAATAGATATTTCAATTACCTGCCAACGTAACGAGGTAATGACAACCTCGACCACAATCGTTCGTCCATTCCAACTGTAGAGGGAAATGCACAGAGTACCTAACTGACCTTTGATACGCTGCACGACGTAGCGCTGATCCGCGAAGGGCTCGAGGTAGGCCAGCAGCGCCGGCAGCGTCTGCAGCGAGTGCGGCGCGGCGGCCGCGGCGGCTCGCAGGCGCTCGACGCTGGCGGCGCCCATGCGCGCGTCCAGCCCCGCCGCCGCCAGCGCGTCGTCGGCCGCGGCCAGCTCGCGCACCAGGCGCTGCAGGATGGTGGCGTGCAGCCACAGGCGCAGGTTGAGGTTCCACTGCTCCAGGCGGCGCGGCTCCAGGTGCAGGCGGCGCCACACGTGCGGCGCGGGCGCGGCCGGCTCGTGCTCGGCGCGCGCCGCCGCCGCCGGCGCCGACAGCTGGTAGTGCGCCGCGCCCGCGCCCGCCGCGCTCGTCGCCCAGCTCGACGCCGCCGGCTCTGGCCGCAGTCGCTCCGAGTAGTCCCTGCGCCGACGACTCGTTCGTTACACGCCGGACCGCGCGAGCGACGGTCCTCGTCGGGTTTCGTTTACCTTAAATACGCAGCCAGGCTGTGCGAGTCCGCGATGAACTGGTCGGGAGAGGTGCGGTCGGCGCGCGGCGAGGCGGGGGAGGGCGGCGAGGGGGGCGGCGATGCGTCGGCTCGCCACACGCGGCGCGGCGACAGCGACACGTCGGCGTCGGGCTCTGTGTCGGCGGGCGCGGGGCGCGGGGGCGCGCGGCGGGGCGCGGCGGGCGGCGGGGGCGCGGGGCGCGCGCGGGCCAGGCGCAGGCCGTGCTGCAGGGCGTTGGCGGCCAGCACGCCGGCGCAGCACAGCTCCACGTAGTGCAGCGCCGACGTGTAGCCCGGGCACTTGTAGCATCTGCACCATCATATTGTTTAATGTACATTCACTATTTTCAAGTGAGCAGTTTTAAGTTTTGTTGAAAATTAAGTTTTTGGACTGAGTCTGAGTGAGTCAGCTTATCCCATCATATGATTTTTGACAAATTCAGAAGCATGTGAGCAGTTGGTCAAGCTTGTGTCTTTTGCAACCTCTCAAAAGTGTTTCATTGCGTTGATCATGAAACAGTTTTGCTGAAGTTAGTTCATTACGGGATTACGACACACTGCACTCCATGGTTCATGCAAACAGTTCTAACCTACATAGCTCTGAGATAAAAAAGGGGCATTTGGTGTGATTCTCTTGTTAGTTATAATTAATTATTGACTTGCCATTTCTATTTAAAATTAAATCAGTTATGGTGCTGTGTGATCAGATCAGATTTACTGCTCCATGCAAACTGATCAATTAGCTGTTGCGATTGTGTGGGGAAGTAAATGTATTTTTGAGATTAGGATATTGGTCCCATTATACATTTTGATAGAAAGTTGTATTACATCAACATCACTCACAAGTCATATGCAAACACCAACAGTAATGCTATGTTCACCAGGATCCATTTCAAAGAAGTTGATCTCTTCCTGTTTGCATAATTCAGGTCAATGGTGTGTTGCACCAGCCTGGACTGTGGGCTCATACACCTGCAACATGCACACAACATTCAAATAAACCACGAGAATACTGCCACAACAACATATGTATCAAAATATTCAATAAAAAAAAATACTATTACTTTGATAATTTGTAATATTGTGTATGGAAGGTAATTGAAAAACTGTGAAGGGAGTGTGTTAGAAAGAAATGACTGTTCCTGATCAATTACCTTTTTAATACTAACTTATACATGTGATACATTACAATACATTATCTAGCAAAAATCTTACACAACTACTACACATCACCTCAGGGGTGGGGGAAAAAAATACATAACATTTGCTTAGTCCTATTTTATGGAAAACTTAAGTCTATTTATTCTTCAAAATTTTGACATCAGTACCTAAATCTTCTAAAATAACAAATGGTCCATCCCATTGCAAATCTAATTTAGTAGCTGTTTAATAAGTATTATTTGACCATTATCATACGATACATTATTCATGTTCTTATCATAAGTACTTTTACAATTTTTTACTTATTGACAAATTTTTGCAAGTGTCATGATGTCATGTTACTTGTAATTTATACTAGTCTTAAGATCTATAGGATAACTTTCGGGGTTATACAGAGGTTCTATGCAATGTTGTTATAGGTAGTTTAATAATATATGAAGAGGTACACGGTAGTAAGCAATTATAGCGCCGTATATATCGGGGAATAGTCAGTCAGAGACGTACAAACAAATATTTATGTATTGCATGGAAAGATGTTAGCGTCCTTGAGTCGGAAAATACAATGAAGGTAAAATAAATAAATTAACAACTTCAGAGTTGAACCAAAACCGGCGATGTAGAAATTGGAAGGAACCAAATGACTGTTATGATTACTGAAAAACGTACTTACATAGTGTTTCTTGTTCTCTTTGGTCTATTAAATATTCATATCAATAATACAAAATATATCCCATATTTCAATTTATTTTATACCAATGAATAACAATAACATAACCTATTATAACCAAACAACTAAATTGTCGTTAAAAATCGTAAGGAAGGTTAGTGATTACTAATGTCATTTTTTTTTTCTTATTTTAGCACTTGGCTTTGGATGCAAGTCTATTGGCCGAAATCTTTAAGTTACTAATGTCAAAATTATCTGTATTGCCATACTTATGACTTTCTAACTTTGCTTTTTAATCAAACTATCCGTAAGAGTTTTCCAGCCTCCTTTAGAGTATACAGGGTTACTGGTAACTCGACGTATTCCTTGCAGGATCTCATAGTAGGGCTAAAATGCAACAAATTAAGCCACCAAAAAATGTTCTACCGAAATTCAGTAGTTTTTGAGTTATTTAGATTTTTAGTATTTTTATGAAAAATCCCAGATTAAATCATTTAGAGCCAATTCAAAAATTATTTACGGCACGACTGTACTGAAATTTAAGTTAATATAATAATTGATGCCGTAACAGATCTTTTAGTCCAGTCATTTTATCTGGGGGTTTCATCTGGGGAAAAATTCCTAGTGAGCTGAATTTTTCTGTACAATTAACGGTTTTCGGATCATAGCGCTGAGAAAGCGACTATATTGTGACGATGCACTCGTTTCCTCACCACCTTCGAGGTAGAATGCAAAGCGCGTTTTTTTTTTACATACATATAATGCAAGTTTATTTTAATTAACAATTAATATATTTTTATCAACATTTTGAAAAATATCTAAAAAAAAAAATTTTTGCGAATAATTAATTAAGAGGCACTAGCATTTTTTTATGTTTGTGGACCACGCTTAACTTCTACAATATCATCATCCGATAAATAATTGATCACATATAAAACATTTATCACTCATTATGATAACTATTTAAGAGCATAAAATGATCAACCAACTGAAGTACTGAACTATACTCAGTCTGACTTGCAGTAGCAGGTATTAAGGGACGGGTCTCGGAACAATGAAATACGAAACATCTATTGAAGGTCATATATATATAGAATGAGATATAGTGCGTCTTACTAAAAACTATACGATAAATATATCTTTCTGGAAACATCTAAATGTAAAGTAAAAGAGAGACATTTACAAACATTACTAAAAAGCAATAGAGTTTACGCCTTGGTGTACGGTATACAATACCGTATGTGACTGCATTCTTGCCGCTTTCTCAGAACACAGAGAAATGTACCACAAGAAACAGATACCATCATACAGTTTGATGCTACTAGGTGTCAACCAGCGGCTACGAAGCACCTTACAGCATAGGTTAGGTTAGGTTAGGTTTTTTTTTTAAATAAAACATTATCCGCAGACATAAGCGTCCGCGCTCTTTTTTACTTCTTTAATATATTGTTTACATTAATTCAGAATTTTTACAGTATAGGATTTCCTCACGGACGGGAGGACAATTATCTTAAAGTTATCTTTAAAAACTAGCGTGAGTTCACATGCAATATACTATATGTATTTTTTAATTCTTTTTTTTTTATTAGTTTTTTTTTATTTAATTTTAATAATATACTTATATAATCTACGATATTCCTACTACTACTACTAAGCATTAAATTTACAATGTTACTTACAAACTTATTACTATTACATTAAATAAATTAACTTACTCTTATTATATTTCATTACATTTTTTTTTTTTTACTTTTAAGCAATAGGCACATTATACACTGTAAATATTGGAACAAATATGTTACATACTATTTATTTTATTGAGACACATAGACACATGACAGACAACACCATTGGCTGGCCAATCACGAACCTCCACTCCCGCCGCCGACCAGGGAGCTCGCCAGTTGTAGTAGTTCTCCCATTACGGTCTCATCGCGATGTTGTATGGCCGCCTTTAGATTATAGTCGATGACCATTTTTGTGGTGGCGGCCATCGCTTTCCTTACAAAGCGGCCTGTGGCGTCGTCGGCGTCATCGGAGTAGTACACGCAGCTGGATGTGTGTCTAGACACGGCCACAACTGCGTGGGGAATGCTGTTGTGGATGGCCAATTTCCTGGACTTGGTGTTAATTATGATGACGCTGTCGTAGGTCAAACCCTGCGCTTCGTGTATAGTCAGTGTGCGCGAGCCCTCTCCGGCGCCGTATCCCTGGTCAATAAGGAGAGCTTTTTCCTCCTGATTATGCACCAGGAATAGGGTATTCTGGGCGGCGGCTGGTATTTGCGCCCCTGTGTAACCTTCCGCTCTCAAGGAGTGAACCGTTGACAGCGCCGTTTTCGAGGAATATATACCGGAGTATATGTCGCTCAGAGCCAACGCCACGTCCATCGGGCTGCGGCGTGTGCAAAGTAGCTCCTGGGTGATCCCAGCCACCGAGACCGGACGGGAGTATCTCATCGTAAATAGGTTCTCCCTGTCCAAAAATGGTAGCTGGTTGACATCACCGACGAGGACCACCTCTCTAGCACCAGCCAACCTTGCCGCCATCACGATGGCCCCAAAATGGTTCATCAAAGCCTCGTCTACCGTGAGACGGTAGTAGGTCTCGTTGGCTTTGAAACCGTTCGCTAATATTGAGGCCATCGTGCGCACTTTTGTATTTGTGCGATCTCCCAGACTCCCTCTGAGTCTTTCTTTCAGCTGTTTGGCAGCTTCGGTTGTCGTGGTGGCTATGACCTCCTTCTCCTCGTCGAAGTTTTCCACCACCCAGGTAGTTTTGCCGCAACCCGGGACCCCGTTTATCCAGCGAACGCTGGGCACCGCCCAACCCCCCTGTCCCGCCGGACGGTCCGGAGGCCCAGAGATGGAGCTTGCCATCTCCAGGATCCTGTCGTCCAGCATGATTTTTGTGCATTTGGCGGTGACCACCATCGGGTGTCCCTGTGGGGTCTTGAATGTTGTCGTTCCCGAGCGCTCCGTCCTGTCCTTGTCCAGGGCAACGAAACCACAGGTGTCGCTGTAGGCCGCCATATATGACCCACTCATCTCCCCTGCAATTACCTGCGAGGTGTCGTTGTCATATATGGCTGCCCCGGCCTCCTCGAGTAGAACCCTTAGCAGACCTTCTGTTTGGCGTTGGTAGGTCTGCATGATCTTCCGGCAAGTTCTGAGATTGACCTCTTTGGTTGCTCTCACTATCGCGATGTACTCGAGGAAGGCATTCCTCATGTGGTCCGCAGCGCCCGCTACCTCCGTGTATGTCGGCGGCGTCACTTGTCCTTTGTCGGCCCTTGTCAATGTGCGCCTTGGAGGTTCCGGTTCTTTTGCCTTTTTCTTGAAAAAGTCCGCCACCGCCCTTTCCTGGGTTATTGATGGATTGGCGCGGCTCGGGCCCGGAAGTAGATTGCGCCGGAAGGAAAGGAAGAATGCAAAGCGCGTTTTTTTTTTACATACATATAATGCAAGTTTATTTTAATTAACAATTAATATATTTTTATCAACATTTTGAAAAATATCTAAAAAAAAAAATTTTTGCGAATAATTAATTAAGAGGCACTAGCATTTTTTTATGTTTGTGGACCACGCTTAACTTCTACAATATCATCATCCGATAAATAATTGATCACATATAAAACATTTATCACTCATTATGATAACTATTTAAGAGCATAAAATGATCAACCAACTGAAGTACTGAACTATACTCAGTCTGACTTGCAGTAGCAGGTATTAAGGGACGGGTCTCGGAACAATGAAATACGAAACATCTATTGAAGGTCATATATATATAGAATGAGATATAGTGCGTCTTACTAAAAACTATACGATAAATATATCTTTCTGGAAACATCTAAATGTAAAGTAAAAGAGAGACATTTACAAACATTACTAAAAAGCAATAGAGTTTACGCCTTGGTGTACGGTATACAATACCGTATGTGACTGCATTCTTGCCGCTTTCTCAGAACACAGAGAAATGTACCACAAGAAACAGATACCATCATACAGTTTGATGCTACTAGGTGTCAACCAGCGGCTACGAAGCACCTTACAGCATAGGTTAGGTTAGGTTAGGTTTTTTTTTTAAATAAAACATTATCCGCAGACATAAGCGTCCGCGCTCTTTTTTACTTCTTTAATATATTGTTTACATTAATTCAGAATTTTTACAGTATAGGATTTCCTCACGGACGGGAGGACAATTATCTTAAAGTTATCTTTAAAAACTAGCGTGAGTTCACATGCAATATACTATATGTATTTTTTAATTCTTTTTTTTTATTAGTTTTTTTTTATTTAATTTTAATAATATACTTATATAATCTACGATATTCCTACTACTACTACTAAGCATTAAATTTACAATGTTACTTACAAACTTATTACTATTACATTAAATAAATTAACTTACTCTTATTATATTTCATTACATTTTTTTTTTTTACTTTTAAGCAATAGGCACATTATACACTGTAAATATTGGAACAAATATGTTACATACTATTTATTTTATTGAGACACATAGACACATGACAGACAACACCATTGGCTGGCCAATCACGAACCTCCACTCCCGCCGCCGACCAGGGAGCTCGCCAGTTGTAGTAGTTCTCCCATTACGGTCTCATCGCGATGTTGTATGGCCGCCTTTAGATTATAGTCGATGACCATTTTTGTGGTGGCGGCCATCGCTTTCCTTACAAAGCGGCCTGTGGCGTCGTCGGCGTCATCGGAGTAGTACACGCAGCTGGATGTGTGTCTAGACACGGTTACAACTGCGTGGGGAATGCTGTTGTGGATGGCCAATTTCCTGGACTTGGTGTTAATTATGATGACGCTGTCGTAGGTCAAACCCTGCGCTTCGTGTATAGTCAGTGTGCGCGAGCCCTCTCCGGCGCCGTATCCCTGGTCAATAAGGAGAGCTTTTTCCTCCTGATTATGCACCAGGAATAGGGTATTCTGGGCGGCGGCTGGTATTTGCGCCCCTGTGTAACCTTCCGCTCTCAAGGAGTGAACCGTTGACAGCGCCGTTTTCGAGGAATATATACCGGAGTATATGTCGCTCAGAGCCAACGCCACGTCCATCGGGCTGCGGCGTGTGCAAAGTAGCTCCTGGGTGATCCCAGCCACCGAGACCGGACGGGAGTATCTCATCGTAAATAGGTTCTCCCTGTCCAAAAATGGTAGCTGGTTGACATCACCGACGAGGACC